CATCACCTTTTTAGTGTCAGAGTTTAGGTTTCTTTCAATCGGTTTAATACATACATATATCTAACAACTACATCCATAAGCTGGCCTCAAAATTATTTGACCTGTTTCGGAGTAAACTTGGGACGTTAATCTCACTTCAACCTCGTAATTGTTGGTTTTGTCAGTTTCGGTAATCCACTAAATCAAAGGCGTCATAATGGATTTATATTTACAACATTCAACGGTAATTCACAGACATATGTCGTGTTGTATATACATACATAAATATCTTTATATGATGACAGTACGCACACTTAATATTAGTTACGGTAGATATTTTTTTAAGATTTAAGCAAAGGCAAAGAATATAACACAAACAAAAGCTATAGAAAACTCTAAATATCACCTAAGCCATCGAAGCATGAGACGCAATGGATTGGATTTCAGTAAGAAAGTGTCTGGCACTCCCTCTAGCCAAGCCAAATCATTTGATGTCCCCCCCTCAAAAACAACAATGGGAAACACTTTACTTCCCTAATATAACACGTCGGTTAAAACATCGAAGAACAAACCTTAACATCCTTGGCCGGGTTTTCCCTTGTGACGTCATAACATCTAAGTTGAGAACAGAACCGCAGGCCAAATCTATGTAGTTGTATGATAAAACTTAAGCAGTATCTCATGTTTACTTACATCTCACTTGGTACCTAAGAGACGAGTCGTCTTAAACTTCAAATTAAGTTGTGGTGCTTAGGCTTCCCGCTGAAACACTTAGATTGGGATTTTAAGTAAGTTCGCAAACTTGTAAATTAACTGTAACAGGAAAATTTCCAGCGCTGTATTTTCTTAGTAAGTCTTAAGATACAGCAATTTTGCCAGTATCTCTTAAAACAAGAAGGGTTAAATTTTACATATTGTTTTATTACATAATACATCAGATCTCATTAATTGGTAGATTTATAAGGTAGTGAAATGAAATACTCAACGTTGTTACTCATGCGTAACTAATACAAATAATTAAAACAAAAAGGTATCAGACAAATGTTACGTAACATACGTTTATTGTTCTATGCCTCCGTTATTCAAACGGGTTTTTGGTCCCGACTCTGCATACCATATTAAGCAAATGAAGAATGATTGTGGAGGGACAAAGCTGTTTCACGTAGCTGAAGTATATCATATAACGTAGCTCTGGCTACGCCGTAGCGAGTACTACGAAGCTGGCGTAGCCAAGCTACGAATCTGTAGCAGCGCTGTGTTCATACTAAATGTGTTTTATTGTGTATATAGTAAAATGTGTTTTAAATAGAGTGATAAGTTTTACTTGAGATTAAAATTGAAACAATGCTAATTATAAACCATAATTATGATAAAATTTACATAGCTAAAATTATGGATCTAAATAATTACCACTATATTATATATTTTACATTTAGAGACTAAAACCACTGGGGACATGTTTGTGGCATAAATTTACATAACGTATGTATTGCCAATTAACTGGCCGTCAATAATTAGCTATAAACAAGCTAGTGTCAATAATGTGGCATCTGTATCGGAGTTATCATGTAGATCTATGATAATTGACGTCAGATTGTCGTAATGTTCATTTATTACTAGGCGAGCATTAGACGACAGCTGTATCTTGCTGTGTTGGTCCAATAAAGAAAAAAAAAGAAGAATCATATAAATTGACTTACAGAACATCCTTGTTCATTTCCTTTAAGCAAATATTTTAAATAAAAATTTTAAAATATTTATTTACATGCTAACACGGTGTCTTCGCCACAAAGAATTCTCAGACATCACTCCATCTGCCACTTACAAAGAGCATTCAATGAATTGTGACCAAATCCGTCAAGTGATTAATTGGCTGACGCTACAGTCCCACGCAACCTTACAATAAATATGGTCCTTACCCACCTACAGTCCGGAAATACAAGGACGCTCCTAATTAATTTACTTTGTAATTAATTGTTATGTGCTCTTTTGATGTTACTTCGTCAAAACATAAACAAAGTCTGTGTCTTAGTGCGTCAGATTTTACACTATTTTCTGCAAAATAGAAAAAGTAACGGAACGTTTTTTTATTACGTATCACAGTTGAGGAGATAAAATAATATTGTTGACAAATATGTAATTTATTAACAATGCTTTTTACCACTACAAATATTCCTATCTGATGAGTAGATGCCCAAAATAATACAACTCAGAATCGACGATGGAATCAAAATCCCCCAAATACTTTGTACTTGTTTGATACAAAAGTTTGTTTGCAAAATGTTTACTAAAAAGTATAAACGGGCATAAATATCTTATACCTAAATATCTTAAGGCTACAAAAAATATAGCCTTCAATTATATACCTAGAATAAACTCAATTATTAAAGTAAACATCCAGTTATTCGAGTACGCTTCAGTTCTGTGTCTGAAAGCTTTGAGACCTTGTATTAGACGAGTAATGTACTACAAATGATACATTTCTGTTTCATTATTGATTATTTTCAAATCATTTGTTGCCTAATATTTCTTGAAGTGAGCACACATTTTGTGTTAATATGCGATTGCGACGTTGAACATTATTTTATCATTTTCATCATAATTTCACTGTAGAGAATTGTAGTCACACTAAAATTGGACATTGTTTTTAAATAAGGAATATTATTAGATTACTTCTTTCTCCTCGAGTGATTCAAACTTTTACTGACTTTAACATCCCGTACCTTTTCCTGCTCCAGGTCGGGATGCAGTAATTATAACGTGACTTGTAACCTCGGAGACCTGGATACTAAATATGATTGAATATGACTGATTAGTATAGAAGATACTAATCAGGTAAAAACAACGAGATAGTATTCACACAGACTTAAGAATGTTCACAAAACTTATGTATTTAATTAATAAAAAAAAAGTTTTAGTAGATATTGTGAAAAAAAAATTACTTTAAATTACAAAAGTTTATTTCCAAGAATGATGTGTTTGCTTTCAATTCAAATATAATTATATATAACTATATTCAGAATGACGTTGAATTCAAAATGGAATTAGCGTACGCTGGTTATTAGAATTCCGTTCGCTACAAACTCATTGCTGAACTGTATTGAATAGACAATAAGTGTAGAACAATAACATGAATTGTTTGTAAATACAGACAAACTTATGCTTTGTGTTTATACGTAAACATTGTTAGGGTGCTTATGAAAGGAAACAAGTTACTTAAATGAGTATAAACTTTGTGTGAAGAGATACGAGTGTCTTCCATGCAGGATTTATCAAAAGGTATTTTACGTCGACATGAGAGATAAGCAAGGTATTAAGTTGATAATATTATTTTGAAGGTATTTTCGAATTAATAAATGCTGTAATATCAACAAAAAGTTAATTCTAAACAAATGACTATTAAGTATGACTAGTAGCTCGTTATATAAAAATGTTTTGTTAAGTTTCTTTGTACAGACTTTTTCTACGAAGTATAAAAAACTTAAGCTGAATTACGTTTTAATTAAAAATTAAACCTTAAAGCTTTAGTTTTTAAGTTTAAATAGTTTGAAAACGAACTATTCGCAAAGCCTTTGTGTACTTACATATATTTTTTGTTCACATTTTTTCTGGCACGTTTCGTGGGATCTCGTTACAGAAACATTACAAGGCTATATTGTTTACAGCCGACATAAAAGAACGTGTCTTTATCACACACACACACACCCACATACGTACAAGAACTCCTACATATAACAAAAAGAAGAACACAAATATAAAACTTTGTTAAAATACTTTGATCAGGCGATGTGTAAACAATGTTTAACTTTCATACGAAAATAACTTTGACGCGTCCTACTTATGGCTGACGATAAGGGTCAATCCGTCAGAATTTTTAAGCCGTTCCCTATATTTATAGGTAGGTCTGCGTTTGAATCTGTCAGATTTTGTCAAAGTAAAATAAGGAAATTGGTTGTGATAATCGTAAAATGAAATATTCGCCTTATGACTTTTTTTAATATTTTAGTCTCATATAATGTGCCTCAAAGAGCCAATAGACCACCACAGACGGGGCCCTATAGGGCTGATGTTCAGCCGGGGTTGCGGGGTAAGCGCAATGAGGCACTGCGACCTCGGCCCAGAGCAGGAGAAGGAACAGGGGGGTTTTTAGTCAGTAAGAGTCTGACACTCCCTCTTGCCCGGCCCTGGGTGGGAGAAGCCATTTGATGATATTCCCCTCACAAAAAAAAAGTCTTATATAATGTAAGAAGATAATTTTTTAAACGACAACATGTACTTTTAGAAAAAACAACAAAAAAGGTCGCATACGAGCGGATAATAGCAAAAATGTAGGCAAAAAGCTTTTGGTGCAAAATGCCCTGGCATTCGAGTGAAACAAATTGAATTGTGAGTAAGTCTTAAATCCGCAAATTGGAACTCCACTTAATGTCAGGCCTTTGTCCTTGTTTTAATATTACAAAATCTTTGTTAATGCGTCGCCATGGATTTGACGTGTCGGTTTTCATTTTAAACGAAACATTTTCGTGATACTTATATTTATAACGAACGATAATATTATTTTGTTTGCTTTTCATACGCAACAAAAAAACTCTTTGTTTAGAAATTTCTACCAACTGTGAGTGTTCTATAATACATAAATCAAAACTAACAAAACAAAAAAAAATCAAAAGTTATTTTTCATAACTTATAACAAAGTAAAAGTTTTTGTCACCGTGAATGTTAGGCAAAAATTCTGCGAAAAATGGAATATCAAACGTTCGAATTTCTATTGAAGTTATTTATGTATATAAAACAAATAATTAGATTGCTATTCCACCTGCATACATTTGGCGATAAAAAGGAGTGCATGTATTAAATGTCATATTATAGTCAGTTAAGATATACTATACTACGCCCATGAAATCATTATTAAATTAACGAATAGCTTATTCAATAAATATGATATCGAATAATATTAATAAGCAAAACTCATAATATAAAAACGGATCTATATTATTGCTAACAGTTCTCGTTTATTTCAGCGATCTCGCTTGGTGAGGTGATCGTAATGGGGTACATAGCGAGCGGAGTAAAACCCGCTTTATGGCTATCTCTTCTACATGGCTTCCTTTTCCTCATCGGTAAGTACCCTGTGTTGTGTACTGCCTTATATTATACTGCGTTTAATATGGATTGTTCTAGAAATATTACGTTTTTAAAAGCTTTCGTCGTTTGCTTGCTTGATGGCATTTGTTTTTTTATTTGAAACGTTAAGAAATATGGGCTGGTTTTTTTAGAGCTTTGCGCAGTTGCTTTGTGTGTGTAATATTTAGTTTGATTGTGCTTGTAAGACTTATATTGTATTGCAATAATACAAATGTATGTATTACTAAAAGGATTGTCATCTTTTACAATAGATAGAATTGTGAATCAAATATGACACTAATTAATGCTTAAGTAAAAATCAGCAATTTGATAACATCAAATCTGCAAACGTAGCGCTGTCCAAAATCCAAAATTCATTGAATTTTCGATAACAAAACGGTAACATCGTAATTTTGTGCTAGACAATCTCATGAAAATTTATGAATTTGTTATTATTATCGTGTCAAAGTCATGTTTAGAAATGGCTCAATTACAAAATCAGATCTTAATTTGAATTTGTAGAAGTACTATAAAAAGGCACTCACCACTCTATTTGACTTTGAGGTTCATCTAAAGGGGCACATTTGCATAAGTCCTTTATTGTAGAGTTGAAACAAAGGTTAAGCGACCCGTCAATTTGAGTGTAAACTATCCACATCACCGGGCCAGGTCCAGATTTATAGGCCGTTTTAGGTCACACTGACAACATTTATCAGACTGCTCCAAACGCCTAACGATTTTTCAAACAGGTTTTCCAATACTGAAATACTGGGTACCGTATGTCTATACTAAGGTCGGAGCTGTCTGTGTTAAAATGGTTTATTTTACAGAAATAGAAGGCGTGTCACAACAGTTTTTATGCCTTTTAAGTTTTCTTTTTCTGAAAGCGTAATAGGTACACATAGATATATAATATATTATCAGCTTCAAGATAAACCTGCAGAAAACACGACTTAACGAAATACCTACCTCAAAATACCTAAACAAAGTTGCAAAAAGTAAACTTCCAGAGCCATAACTTATAGCGCAACCACTTTTCAGCGAGGTTTCATTAGTGCTCCAAATCAAATTTTAACCAAAGATAATCTCAACTTAACTAAATTATATACGCTAAGTTCTTAAAATGGCATTCTTTTATTACTGGTAGTTAACACATTTTACAGATTAAGTACAAGAAAAAACCTAGTCTGCTAGCTAAATATGGGAATAACAAATACTTTTTTAACTATACCATGTATACATGTACTCCTATACCATGAGTATGAGTAGTTGGTGGCACTTTCCAAAACCCATACAGTGGGATTATGTTAATCATAAGGATTACCTCGTCCTCACACCTGAGCCATTTCCATCCTTTAAGTCCTTGCCCCTGTCGTTCCTATTTTGCGGTTTTCAGCACATTTTATAAACCCTTTTCTACTTAAGTCTTAAGTCTCTCAATCCACTAGAACACTGTAGGAGCTTTTACGTGGAAAAACATTTTTTTAAATAAAAAAAACAAAGTAAAGTAAAATAAAAAAAAATATGAAAGGTACGGCCGAAACGAAATATATAATTTGTTTCAAAAACCTAGATTGATCAAACTACGCGTATTAGTTACTAGCTAAATAAGTTTATCGGTATTCTTTTTTGTATGTGATAGAAAGGCAAACGAATAGACGGATAGACGGATTACCTGATGATAAAAAATCGCCCATGTACCCCCGCAACAGTAGAAGAGACAGAAGTGCCCTTTTGCCCCCTGCCCACCTTTTGGGTGTTAGAATATCTTAATAGGGTTGCAGGAGAAACACGGCAAAACATAACGCCGTGGTTGTTTCACGTCGATTTTCTGTGATGCCGTGGTACCTATCACTCTGGTCGATCCGAGTCAATTGTAACGAAGCATGGCCCTCATACACTTAAATCTATATGAAATAAATATTCTAATAGGTATAAATACAATATTGTTATTAACACTAATATATGTTATAGTGTGTACTTGTTTAGTATTGTGTATGAAGTAAGTAAAATATCCGTTGGCATACATTTTAACTCTACTCCAAAGATAAATAACAAGTATTAGGTCACTAGAAGCGATCAGTTGTGATCGATCACTCGTTACTGAGCGTAGTCCAACACATAACGAATTGAAACATAGGACACAACACGCCGGGTACGTTCTATTGATGGAACATAAACTGGAATTACGTAAAGAAAACGAAATGAGCAATACATGGATATAAATTTTACGAGGAATAGCTTAGGAAACGTGTTTGTCCGGAGATTCGTCGCATCCCATTTTGTTTGATGGAAATCACAAAGTTGTTTGTTTAAAGACGTAGAGAAACTATGTATGTATGTGTACAGTTTGTTTACTATAGACTTGTTTGTCAACGATACAATCATTAAGGTTTAATTTTGCTTTACAAATTACATGTTTATATGGCCATCGTAAGTTATAGCTGGCATATAAAATTTGAATTTGGAAGTAGACATAAAAATATGACGTCATGACTTGAAATGTAATGGCGATAATAAAGATTAAAAATAGAATCTATTGTGTGTTGAGTGATTGTAAATGTATATAAAAATTACGAGCCAATATCATTAAATTACGAACTCATGATGTCGTACTATTTAACAACTCTACCTCTTTACCGACCACCACACAATGAAAGAAATAACAAGGCTTAACATGCTTTACAATCTATCAAAATAGAGGTCAGCAATAAACCTAGCGTTTTACAATAAACATTTACACGATCACAAAACCCCCTACATTTTAGATCTAAAACATTTTATGTCATGCAAACCCTATCTGCAAAAACGAGCTCTAAATAAGTTAGCTTTAGAACTATTGTTTTTTGTCTCAAACCTCAAGATTGTATATCGATAAAAACACGGATTATTAAGTATTAATAAGGACTGATGTCGTTGCCAAATACCCAATGGTACATAGGTACTGAATGATATCTTCGTCGTAAATCATAGAGAGGTTCTTTTGTGAGACTCGTGTTGTTTATTCGCCTTTGGTTGGCTGGCTTTGAATAGAAACTGAACATTATAGATATGTGCTTGCATTTCCCGAGATGTATGGATGGACTCTTTATAGGTCATGTTTACTTTGTGTAGATTTCTGTTGTTTGTTTCATCATATTAGCGTAATTTATAGTAAAATAACGTTCTATGATTGGTTTTTAAAATGTATTCTTTAATCTTTTATATGAAAAATTTTGAAGCAAGTTAGTTATAGTATTTATATTTTTTGTAACCTAACTATCGGACACGATTTTCAATAGAAAACTGATCTCAAAGTTACATATCCTCATTGGATTGGTTTTATTCTCCGAAACAGTAGTTAGACAACATTCAAATATCGACGTAGTGAAAAATCAAACATTTCAAATTCATTCACATACCAGGTAACTGGACGTTTCAAAGAAACAAAAAGTGTTCATAGAAAAGGAAAATATTGTATAAAAATATGAAATCGTAAAATAGTTGTACGTCTGTAGGCATACTGTTGTATGTAGCAAATTGCTTTTTTAATTTAAATGCCACATACAAATAATAATATTTATACTAAAAAAGATAATGACGCAATAGTGATTAAAAGAAACCACTTTGTTGACAAATGCTTTAAACATAAAAAATATGTAAAATTTTATTAATCAACACTCTTATTTTATCCGCTGCATTACCATAGTCAACAAATACCACAATTAACACAACAATCCGTAAAATAAAACGAGACTCAATAAAAACTGACGAACAAAATAAAATAAACTGAAATTTAAATTGGACACGAAGTTCCGAATTAAATTCGCTAACTGGTTCCAACTATGAATGCCAAGTATAGCGGTGGTGACTGCAGGGAATATGACAACAAAGGGGTGGTTTTCACACCCCCATAAAACTAATTTAAAGTTCCACCACTTTGTTAATACTGGCAAACTAAATTAAAATTATGAGAGTTATAAGGACTGTCAATAAAATGATTATCATATTATTAACATTTCAGCATTAGTTGTATCTTTGTATAATATTAAACTTCGCTAATATAAAAAAAAATGAATTATACAAAATTCTTTGTAAATGACCAAAATGTCTGCTGTATGAATAAAATCTGTTAATTGGATCCTTGTTAAAGGTCACGTATTTTGAAACGCATATGTATAAGCCACAGAATACATAGAATTCTATAGCAATTCTTCAAACACAATAACTTTTCGAAATAAAAATAATTGCCACACACAAACCGTAACAAAAGTTATACTTGAAATTCTGGCCGGAGCTGGTGCTTGAAAAGAAAAGGTTGTCATAAAAATCAAAAGCTAAGACCACGCACTTCAGCGAATACTAGAAACTTATTTTAAAAGATAACCTTTGACATTTATTTCGTCCAGATTTGTTTTTATTGTACTTACAGTGTAATATTTTCAAAATGAGGAAAACTTTCCATTTTAGGACAATAATATCATCAATTCTCGTCCTCCACAATTATTGAGTGTGACTCTCTAGTCTAGTTTTAAAGATTCCGTTTTAATGGCCTAGAGCAAAAGAAGGGACGGGGGTTCCGACGAACAGGATAACTCAGTAAGAGTCTGAAACTCCTTCTAGTCATACCTGGACGAGAGAAAAAATGGACAGTTTCCCCTATCAAAAAAAAGTTTACAAAGAAATCTCGCGATTTATCCTGTTTTGATCATCTTAATAGTACATAGTATTTATCAGATTCAGCTGTACCTTTCACTGTCCACTTGAGTCGTAATCAGGGCTGCCCATTTTATGTAAGTACTTGAACCATAAAGAGCACCGCCAAATCCTCCTAATTTCTAAAGGTATTAAGAGCCCTTGTGGTCAGACAATCTCCGACATCTCGTGATCCAATCCTGTACACAAAGGCAGCGAAATAAAAGCAATGCTCATAAGCAATCCGTTTTAATGGTGATTAAATATAAAGTTTATATGCCTAAACGCAAATACTCATACCAACACACTTTACACCAACTTTGTATAAACCTACATAATAATATATTAAATCTTATTCTATGTAATATTAGGTACATATTTCTCTAGTTTTGATGGTCCTGAACTACATCCAGTTAAATAACCTTCTCAGAACAGCTTAAGATTGAAACGGAATTCATCAGAAAATGTTTTTCTGCTAAAATTTTAAACCACTTACGAAGGCCAAAGCTGTTTCCTTGAATAGTTGCTCGTAATTTTTAAATTTCTTTTACCTTCCTGTATATTCTACAGGATTATCTAAAGGAGACATATGGTTTCAAACCAGTCCACCTAAAATCTCTGACTGCACGATTGTCGTGATGGTGGTACAATCAACTGCCACGTGACGGAACAACTCTTTGTTTACGATCTATCAGATTATTATTACGGGTCTGGATCTAAAGTGATTATGTTTATGAATGCAATTAGGACACTGAAGAAAATCCTAGAGTGAGGCACCATTTTTGTAAAGGTAAAGGAAAGTTAATTTAAACGTTGCGTCGATCAGATGAAATAGAATAGAATAGAAAAGTCAGTGAAAGGGATTCGTAAAAGTCCTACTAATATTATAAACGCAAAAGTTTGTAATTACAAATGGATGTAGAGGTGTTTGTTCCTCTTTTGCCTAAAATCTTATGAACGGATCTAAATGATTTGTGATAGAGATAAATTATAGTCTAAAAAAATATATAGTGTGAAAAAACTATCGTCCTTAATATCAGGTGATCTGTATGAAATACATACAAATACATAAATTTAACCTTGGCAATACATAATTTAGCAAACACTACGGTCACTTTGTACTGGACCCTATTGCACAAATGACCTAAAACATTGTGAAAACAAATCAAATCACTTTATTAGCTTCGATCAGATGTGCACTTTTGTTCGCAGCAGTTTATTTAATCTAAAACTTAAAAAAAACCTATCAAACAATTTGTTTTATAATCGGTTTCATGAGTGCATTAAATCATTTATTAATCATTACATTTAAGTAGTATCCTTTCATCAGTTCTGTCAGATGAAATGGAAACTTAATTAATAATTCAGTGTGTTAAGTCCATTGTGTTTATACAATATTAAATGTTTATTTACAATAAACGTGAATTGAATTGGTACAAACTTTATAGATTATTTCACGGTTTATTTAACTGTAATAGGTTTTCCAACGTTACGATGGCTTTGCAGCACTTATGATCGCGAATGGCCTCTTACACTGGAGAACCAAATGGCGGTTTAGTGTGCGAGTGAAGCTTCGAAAAGCTAGTCTACAAATACAATATGTATATTATCATGTTTGTACATGCTTTAACATAAACAATTTAACTTATATATTTAGATAGCCCAGCAAAGCTAAATGTTGTATTAGTTTTTGACTACGTAGAAATCATAGGTACTTTAGCAAAGCAATTATCAAATCTAAACAAAACTGTTACGTAATCCTGCTTATATAGCTAGGAATAGATATTTAAATGGAAGGAATTTGAAGAGAAATTCATAGTGTTTCGTATCAATCTTTCAAAATTTTAACACTAAAACGTATTCGAAGAAAGTCATAGTTATATCGCAACATGTAAATAATATACTTATAGATTTTTCATTTATTACGTAGGTAACTTAAATTTTTTAACGTAATACCTACTCATTTCTATCTTTTGTTCCTTAGCTGATTCCGGCACCGAATCACCACAAGAGCACTCAACAATGGACGTCTCTTCACGTCACTTCAGGGCAGAATTTCTTCAAGAATGGCAAGGATCGCCAGACGCACCTTACTTCGACCCAAGTACGCCAAGAAATATCACCGGACTGGTTGGCCACCCAGTTCGACTGTTGTGCAGAGTAAAAAACCTGCAGAATAGAACGGTAAGTGATTCTAAATTAAATAATATATTTATAGTCTTACTTCTTCTTGATTTGTGTCAAAATATTGCGTAACGTTTCAGAATAAATACTATAATTATCTGAGCTAGTTATTAACTACAACACACTCAAGAAAACAATAAATCTCACGTGTCATATTTAATATTTGTCTTCGTCGTCCTTGAGTATCGATTGAGTAGTTACAATATTCGAGTAAATCTGTATATGTTTTTTTTTTGTAAAAGACAACGGTGCGGTTTGTTTCATTGTGTATGTGACGTTAATTTAAGTCTATTCCTTTCCCATGCCCCTATCCCCAAAAATACAGATGCAAAAATCTCCTTACCTCAATGCTCAATTTTTTTTTTTTTTTTTTTTATATGTAGTAGGTCGGCAAACGAGCAGACGGATTACCTGATGGTAAGCAATCAGCGCCGCCCATGGACACTCGCAACGGAGGAGTTACGAGTGCGTTGCCAACCTTTTAGGGATTAGGGATTTGGAGATTTAGGGATTGAGGAGGGATTGGGGAAGGGGAAGGATTGGGCCTCCGGTAACCTCACTCACACGGCGAAACACAACGCAGTGGTTATTTCACGCCGGTTTTCTGTGAGGCCGTGGTATCACTCCGGTCGAGCCGACCCATTCGTGAGAACAATTATTTAACCATTGACAACGCCCATTGCTTACTATTAGGCGACGCGTCCTGATCGTGTGCGAACTTAAAAAATAAATAAATTTGAAATGTTTGATGATCTCCGCATGTTTTTTTTTTCATTCCACTGCCAAAAAATATTTTTCATGTAAAATCTATGAAGCCCAAAATAAGCCTCGTATAGATAGTACACTTTTTTATGTACACGTTATGGCATGGAATATTAAGTATTAAGGTCTTTCTCCTTAAATAAAAAATAAGTAAAGTTTTAATTTTTATTACCCGTACAAAGAAACGCTTTATTATATTTACATTGACAAGTCTGTTATTGACAACAACTACTTTCAGGTGCATGACATTAAAGCCAGCGGGCTTTTACAGCTTCATTATTAGAGGAAATCCATTCATGCAATCCACTTTCCGTACGTGATTTTGTATCCCTGGACGCTACCATAATTTTATGACTAAAACTCCTGACCTATTTCATCCGACCTCCTTCATTAATATCTACAGAAATTTTACATGGCGATAGGCAAACTGAATTCGTAGAATGTTTCACAAAAAACCGTTTTGAAGTCTCGAAACATTTTCCGTAAAATGAAACTACTTCAACTTCTCACGATTTATCATCCTACAAAATCTTTTATATTCCACACTTTGGCCTTTTTAAACACGGTTTTCTTCGTGTTCAGCTTAAAACTGCTGGTTCGTTAAATAATCCCAACATAATATTCTATATACTTACAGCCAATTTTTTTATTCACGTTTTCAAACCTTGTACCTACCAAATTCCAAAAACAAAATGTAAAAAGACTCATGCGATCAATTTTCATAGATGTGTCATCTGTCACAAGGCCATATGAAGGACATTAAGAAAGAAAAAAATATAGAACTTTTTCGAACCCAAATTTATCATAAGTCCTAACTTAACATCTAAACGAACAAGATGAATACAGTCCCAACGAACAGATCTAGATCCCAGACTCCTATATTGAATGGATAAAATTCTTAAGCGTTAGGGTCAGACCAGTTTTATATTTACAGGTATCGACCATTTTGCTTTACAAGTGGGCACTTCATCTCTATTGATAAGTCCCACCCAGTAAAGTGCTTAAGACTGATCCGTTACAAAGAATTCTTAAAAAAATTGTAAAGGGGAAATTGAAGCGATATTTTTTTCTTTACGCCTAAAAGCTGTAACCGTCTCGGTTTTCTTCGCCTACCATAAAGTATCCCAACGTCACACTTACAAAATAGCTGTTTGTAAACAACATTAAAATATTTTTATAGCAAGTTATAAAGCAGGACAGGTTGACACTAGAAACTTTTTAATAGAAGCTGTCGTTTAACTCATCAGGATGAGCTATAGAACGAAGTGGTGTCGAAGATTGATATATACATTGTTTCTTTTTAAGTGCTTTGAGTGTTCTTTAATGGGGCACTTTGTATGCGGAAAGTATATAAAGTGCTATCGTTTTTTTAAGCTATGTGCTGTTCGGTTGGGACTGCTGAGGAAAATATTTTTTACAACAGTGAAAGCAAAAATGTGTATTATTAATTTGCACTCGTATATTTTGTTGGATACTGTGAAGATTGACAACATTTAACGAATGACGTCACAAATTCAACATCATGTATTTAATTGCGAATAAACACGAAGGGAAAATGGCAACTTCGACTGTTGCATTTGTCGACGGACATGATCACCTCGCCTGGTCGAAGAAAAAATCCTATTAATTCCTATACAGAGAGTAAAATACTATAACCAAACTAACAGGAACATAATAAAACCATATCTAGCCCAGTTCTAAATATAACTCACATTTAATACCTCCGAAATGTATTCTGTGACATTTCGACCATCTTAAGTATCGCCATTACTCACAGCTCCTTACAAAGCCGTGAAATAGTTCGGTTCCAGTTCCGTCCATTAGCAAACAGGTATCAATTTGTCGTCTAAACCTTCGAAATCAATACCTCCATTAATAATTTTGTCTTTGAAGACAGTGAAAACAGCGTCAGTCATAAAGGCCCTGCCTTTATTACTGACATCCTTTGAAATGCTAAGTTTGTTTATTTATGTTTCAACATTATTCCTCTGTCCCTTCAGTAACTTTTTGTATAACGATGTCTCTGGACTGAATTCCGATATTGGAGTAGGCTAGTTTACGACGTACTAGATATGGCCCAAATATCTTCACAAATAGATCGCTTTTCATTCTCTCATTTTGTTAAATAAATTATCGTTCATTGTTACACTTAGTTAAGAAAACTTTTCGGATATTTGTTTACCAACTTTGCACAGTAATAAAATTCTTAATAATGCAGAGACTAGACAGTATTCTTAAATTAAAAGATTATTTTAGTCCACTACTATAATGCAATTTGCATGTTCTAGAACAAACAGAACGTTTTATGAAGAAAGTTTTAATAAAGCAAACAAAAAACGCTGACTGATAGTGAAGTTTGAAGATGCAGATTCTGGTTTGTTATGCTAATCAGGAATAGTTTCTTCACTTAAAACCGTGGAGACGCTTAAGAAATAATTCTAACCAATACGTTTTATATTTAATGTTAGTTATTGATTTGTCATGACGCGAGTTAATGCCAACGTTTTACATTATTTTTTGTGGTTGCGTATTAAAACAAAATCATTATAATTAGAAATTATTAAGTGTAGAAGAGGCAAGCTTCGGCACGAATTGGGCGGCTCGAGTGATGCCACGGCCTTACAGAAAGCCGGCGTGAGGCAGCCGCTGTGTGAGTAAGGTTACGGAGGCCAAATTCCTACCCCTCCCCTATTCCTTTCCAATCCTTAAATATCCTTTATCCCCTAAAGGACGGCAACGCACTCGTAACTCCTTTGGTGTTGCGGGTGTCCATGGGCGGCGGTGATTGCGTACCATCAGATAATCCGTCTATAAAAATTACATTGTTTTGTTTACCTAAATTTTTTTTAAAAATTACAACTATTTTTATTAAAACACATTTTGTCGTAAAGTTAATAAGTGCCAACATAAAATTATAGCGACCCCAGAATTGACATTGGTACAAAAATCATACAAAATGATGATAAAATAACAAAACCACTTGGCACCTCGATACTTTGCACACGAAAATGAACGTTATTGACGTTTGTACTACATACCAGAGTGTTATTTATGGGTTGAGCAATATTTATACATTTAAACACTGATTTAGACCTAAGGTCCTATTAAATAAAGGCACTAATCCATTGCTATGTATTTGTTTAATTATTATCTCTTTCTTACTTTCAAACCGACCACGAAACACGAAATTATACAATGCTTTTGTTTCCTTTATTCTTTAGTTATCAAAAACATTTTTACCGTATCAAAAGATGAACAAATGTTTGGTTTTCACGTAAATTTTATGTGTTCGATTCAGGGATGCCCTTTCAATCCTATCTATGTGTGTCATCTAGCATTCCCGTTGGAATGAAAGAGGTATACAAGATAAAGAATGAAAAGGAATTTTTATTATTATGTCCTATAAATTCTTAAGTTGTGTTTATTTGTTATCGGTTTTCACTTGTTTTGTTGTATTCATGGTTATGGGTAAAGGCTTTCAATTCGTGTTTTTATATAATATATAACATGGTTCTTAGTATTATGTACTTAGTCTTCTTTGTGCTGCCGTATTTAAATAATCTTTATTTACGAAATGTAGATATTAAAACGTATATATAGTCAGATATATAGACAAAAACAATTTTCGAGGATATGTCGTCGTTTAGTAACAATCTGCAAGTTAAAGTAGATATGAACTTACGCTTCTTTGTACTACCGAATTGAAATAATGTATTTTTACAAAATGTAGCTATTAAAACCTATTTATAGTCAGAAGACGAAACGAAATTAAAGTAGAGAAACAAGCAGAGGCAAACGATAAATTGGGACACCTGATGGCAAGCAAATCGGTGCTGCTCACGGACCCGCAGCTCCAGAGGAGGTACAAAATACGTTGCATTATTAAGGATATGTAGATTGGAGAATTAGGTGTTGGGGAAGGAGAAGGAAAAACTGAGCTGCCGTCAACCTTATTCACGTAATAAACCCAAAGCTAGAGTAGTTTTACACTGCTATTCTCCGTTTTTGGTGCCAGGGCATGGTTTTCTCACACTTAAGACAACGACTACTTATATGAAAGAAATCTGTGAATACTCAACCAATATGTTATTGTTCAGGTATCATGGGTGCGTCATCGCGACATCCACTTATTAACGGTGGGTCGCTACACGTACACCTCGGACCAGCGCTTCGAGGCGCAGCACAAGCCGCGCTCCGAGGAGTGGGCGCTGCGCATCCGTAGCCCCCAGCGCCGCGACTCCGGCCAGTACGAGTGCCAGATATCCACCACACCACCTATAGGACACGCTGTCTTCCTTAATATCGTAGGTTGGTATAATTATCTGTGTTCATTATTTAAAGCTGACCTTTGGATGTTGACTGCCATGTCAGTCAAGAAATCGCAAACATGACTCGAGTACAGTTTTGGTCAGCTTAGGTATTATTAAGATTTTCGGCTCATACGAACTTTTTTGAGTAAATAATTGTGGATTTTATTGCAATTCTATTTAATTCCATAATTATAATATATGGTGCTGGCTTGCACTATGTGTTATATTATTTACGAAAAATTTCAAATATATCGTAATATCAGTAGCCAATCAGGTATTCTTTATTTAAACAACAACAAAAAAGCACATGTAATAAACAGGTTACCACATTTGTTTCAAACTTTAATAAATATGTTAATTCGAAGCAATGGTTTAAGTATCACAAATGGCTTATCTTTGTGTGAGACCCAAATTTTGTCATTGAAATTTTTGTCGTACCATTGTTAACGTTTGAAAATCGTACAAAGGTATCCCAGAAAATACGCAACAGTTAGGTAGGCAGGCTTAGGTTACCTAGACTTTGATCTTAGAACTTGTTTAGAATAATTTTTGCTTCATGTTTGCTTATGCGTAAGACATGCATGAATACATACGTAGGTGTTTGTGTATACACATAGAATAACAGATACAGAATAGAATGACACAATATTTTTCACAATATTTTGTTAATAGCTTTTGCACACGATTTTGTTTGCGTGGAAAAGTGACTTCCTGCAGATTTTGGTTCAAAAACTATCCTATGTCCTTTCTCGATTTCAAAACTATGTCTGTACCAAATTTCACACAAATAGGTTCAGTATTTTAGGCGTGACGAAAAGACAGACAGACAGATAGCGTTACTTTCGCATTTATAATATTAGTTTGTATTTTGTTTACTCCTTTTTTAATATCACGGATAGCTAATTTCCATTTGCTTAAATGAAAATTAATAAGCAATAAATGTGAAGAGACAGTCAATTCCATTTTTCTCAGTACAAAGAAAAGGCTTTCTCGTCTAATGGTGTTTGCTAAGACAATATTAATTTCTAGTTATTAGCGCTTAGTAAATCTATTGAAGATTAAAATCTTGTATAATAAATACTAAAGAAAGATCTAGGAGAATAATATTCAATCCTTAATTCGAAATAAGTATCTATTATATGGATTGTTATTATTAGTAGTGTTAGTGATGTTATTAGTTTTATTAAAACTTATGAAAGGACAGAGGACAAAAAATCCGATGGCTCTTTAGCAGTAGAATTTAATCCATAAGGATCGGATTCGAAATCTGGCAAACACCAATGGAACTACGTACTAAATACACCAATCTTATTAGAAGTTTGAAATCATCAATCGATGACGAGTAAGCATTGTGATTAATGCAACTTCTCCGCGAGAGAAGACATCATGCCGAGCAGTGGGAATAGTAAACTGACGAGGAACATGCGCAGTTATTTTAAATTAATTTCTTAGATCATATGATCTCAAATAAATTATATTTTATAATACTCCTGGAAAACTGAAGATATTTGTTTCTATCAAACAAACCTCGGTCCTTAAACTTATTTCTCCTTGTCTCTAGAACCAGAAACGATAATATCAAGTGGTCCGGAGCTGTTCATTCAAGCTGGCTCCACCATCAACCTGACCTGTACCGTGCGTCACACTCCTGAGCCACCCAGCTCCATCACCTGGACGCACGGAGAACAGGTAATTTCAAATGTATGTTTTATTTTTTAATAATTATTACTTACACTCTACCTTCCTACAACGATAATAAACATACGATGTCCCATTTCACTAATATTTAAGTTGTTCAAAGGGCCTCTGTGAGTTTTCTTCGGCCCCTCGTACGCCTTCCAAAGGTTCCGGGAATCTGTAGTCCCGATAATGGAAACGAAATAAACATACAATGTACCTATTATTAAAATGTATTAAATAACCCACAATAACATTTTTGAGACATTCATACTAGGTTCATTTAAAAGTACATTATACTCACAGGAACTCTTCGAGGAAAGCTCTATAAGATTCATATCCCAACGGGACTCTTATTCTAGTAGTAGTGTGTGAAACAAGTAGAGCATTTCTCAAATAGTTTACAAGTTGAATTTTACAGTCATTAAATTAGGTATTAGATTTTGTTGTATGGGGATTAAATTATGTATTTACAATAGTCAGAAAGCCACGTGAAAGCTAATTACGCAGTTACTAGTGTGGTTTCGCATTGACCGCTGATCGCCACAATATAGCGCACGCTCCCTGCACGCTATCTGCGGTTTGTCGCTATCCAGTTACAAAATAAGTGTTTAATTTCATTACATTATTAGTACACTCATACCAGCTAGACACGTTGTAAAATGAACTATATGGCAGAGAACACAGTGACTGAATTAGTAACGCACACGTTTTCAAGCATGTTTTTCATGTACCAAACCTTTTTAATTTAAAAATATAGAATGTCTAAAGCAACTTCGGCCCCGAAAAATTCATTGAAAAACTTTTGCGAATTCAGCTAATAACGAATTTGTCGACAAATCCCCGCCAGCCAGGATTAAGAGCATTAAATTTCCGATGTGTACGGAATCGGGACTCAATCCCGAATCAATCGATTTCATGGTTTGAAAGTGATTGCGTAATGAATGGACTGTTTAACAAATTCGTTCTGTAATTATGTCAACTCGTTAAAATATCACATTTATTGGTATTATTATTATTGTATTGGTAACGTAATATTTACAATAACATTTTATTGCAATTGTTAAAAACAAATCAGTATTTACAAAAGGTATGAGGACAAAGCAGAATGTTTAATATAATTAGTATAGGTATTTGCATAATTTTAAATATCGACCATATCGTTGTGGTTAACAAATAACACTTTCACATGTTAATTAAACATTATTTTAAAGTTATGAATATATTACTAATAAGTGATATTTTTAGGTAATAAACTTTGACTCTGCACGGGGAGGGATATCACTGGTGACTGAAAAAGGTTTGAAGAGTACCAGCCGACTCTTGGTGCAGCGAGCAACGGGCTCCGACGCTGGAGTATACACATGTGGACCAAATAATGCTCCCTCAGCAGCTACAAGGGTCCACGTACTGTCTGGTAAGAAATCAACAAACATACAAAATATTAAATATCAATGTAGAATAACTTGTATGAAAACAAAGAACTCTAAAACGAGTGTGATCCACACTATGTGTGGAATAGCGAAGCTTCGGTACGAATTGGTCGACTCGACGGGATAGTTAGGCAAAGCAGGTTGTCCATGGGCGGCGCTGATCGCTTACCATCAGCTAATCCGTTTGCTCGTTCGCCGACCTATCACCTATCACATAAAACAATCAAATTGTTTAACAAAAATCTAAATTACTTTTAATATTGTTCCTAATTCCATTCTCTGTTCACAGGTGAGCACCCAGCGGCGATGCAACAAGGATGTGCTAAATCAACGCTAGATAAAACAGCCTCGATCCTATGCTGCTTGTTAACAATTTACGTATTAAGAAAACCTTCGTTCAACGACCTACAATTCGGCACTTGAATGTAAAAAAAAACATATTTAATGAACCATAAACTGAGTCAATAATTCGTATCGTAATTTTATTGCTTGAGAGTAAAAGAAGCGTGATTTAATAAGGAAAAGGGATAAGGCAAATGTGTACTTTTCGGTGCCTAAAAAAACTTTGTTAAAAAGTCACGACGTCTTGTGTATAGACGAACTTTTCGGCTCTCACAGTCTTTAATGTCTCGTTATTTGTTTACGTCAAGTTACTTTCTTAAAGTGATTTTGTTTAGGCCGTTTAACATTCAGAATAGTACCCTCATCGTACAACAGCTATGTTACAAAACATTGTAGTAAACAACATTTTTAATTTTAAACATAAAATTTATTTGTCCGCTTAAAATCTCTTTGTAAATATCTCTATCGCTTTGTACATACTTTAATGTATTAAAATAAAGTTATAATCTGTACATATATGCAGACAACTGCCTGTCTGTACCGTCATGTTAACAAAATGAAGGGTTACTGACACTCGTGTATCTTCAAAAGGTATTGTTTAAACTCATTAAGAGTTACGTAAGATTATATAATAATTAATTATTACGAGCAGACAGTGAAACCCTTCTAATTGTAACTAAGGTTCTAGCTCTAGAGAATTTAATTGACAAGTTAAAATGAAAATAAAAATTATACTCCGAATCCCAAACTGAAGATTTGAAGGTTTTTGCATACCTAAAGATAAGAAATATAGAGGGCTTGTGAGGGTTTGACGGTTTCTCGGCAGTCTATGGTGTTTTAATGGCGGTCGCAGATGCTTATAAAGTTCTCAAGGACTATATTACGCACTTTTGAAAGTCATAGGCGAGGATCCGGCTTAGAATGGTGGTCGATATATGTATAATGTTGGTAATTTTCGTACAAAAACACACACTAATTTTAAACATAATAAGACCACTTCTAAGCTGTTCCTAATATGAAGTTTCAAGTATATTCTGGAGATTTTAAATAAATTTATTCTTGAAGGCATTTACAAAATTAAATCTAGTACCTAATGGGAGACAACGTAATATAAAATGATTAACACGTTTCACATTAAATGAAAATTATTATTGTGCCAGTTGCGTTGACACTGCCAGGACAATCTTTGTAAAAAATTGAAAGAGATAAAAGCAAATGTATGACCTCAAGTCATACAAAATACCAGTCATAAAACACTAACGATGACTAAAGAAGAAAACGTGTCGACCATCACACAATGACCTGAATATTAATGTCAAAATTTGAAGCAGGCCAAACCATTTATGTAAGATACTCCTTGCTTAATATAACACAATTATCTTGACAGTTAATTAGATCGCGACGAATTGGGGAGAGAATAATTAATGTAAATTGTCTGTAAATAATTAAGAAGCAAATTATTGTCCAATTTTAAATAAATAGGTAAGAAATACATGAATTATGAACGTCAACGAATAAAATTTGTTATAAATTATGTTTTGTGTTTCATTTGTCTTTACTTTTACTTACATCTTTCTTGCGTATACACTACATCATATAAATATATGTAATACGGTCATATGTGCATGTGCATAAAATCGAGATTCGAATAAGCTGGTCTACAAGAAAAGTAAGTATTCCAATTGGGTACTTAATTTACCTAATACAAAATGAAATAATTTCGATTATTTACATATTAAAAATGTAATCATAAATTCATTCATTGAACTTACGATTTATTGAATAGCCATATTTTCTCTTCTAAATTATTAAAAAGATATAAGTATACCTGTTAACGAAAAAATATGAGATCACACACACAAAATTCAAAGCAAACTGACATCGATTTTAACAAATCGAAAAATAAATCAGAACTACTAATTCTCAAGTACCAAGTTGATTGCTTTGTGACTAAGCGTATGTACAAAGGTGCCGTGAGCTTGAGTGGTAATGTAATTCTATTAAAACACGACAACAATACGTACCTACTTTAATATACTCGAGAAAAAATAGCAAACAGCCTGAAATAAACAATTATTTTAATATTCTATCGTCGTCTACAGTTTATTTATTCAGCCTAGATTTCAATGAAAACGGGCTACGTAAATAACTCTAGTACTTTAATCTTTGTCGCTTTAACAGGGAATTTGAATAATAGGCTGTGTTCATGTTTTAAGATAAATTCGTTTTACTAAATAGAAGTTTGATGGAGCGACCTCAAGGCGGTTGCTCAGCAGACCGACAATTCTAATCGCAGATCGACCATTTGTCTTTTTTTTTAATTGTGTGTTCATAACACATCATATTAGTCGTAGGTAACATAATTTCGTATTCTTATCTACATATATGTATTACTAGCTGCTCCCGCGCGGTTACACTCGCAGTTCAGCTCCTTTTGATTGTAGCGTGATGTTTTATAGCCTATTGCACTCGGGAACATTTAAGCTATCAATAAGTAAAAGATGTTGGGAATCCGACTAGTGGTTCCAAAGATTAGCCCCTAAGCACAAATTTACCTCTTTATAATATTAGTATAGATAAATAGATTCCCCGTAGCTATTTTTAGCTGATTTTTCTATTTGACCCAATGGTTGATTGGTGCCATGTCCGCTTTTTGTACCAACTTCATGACATTTTTGTAAATTTATACATAAATAAATAAATAATTGAATTATAGTATAGTAGGTAGGATGTAGGCTACAAGTAATTGTATCTAAGCTATATCTTTAAGACTTTGTGTATACCTAATCGCAAAATGTATTACGTACAAGCATTGTCTTCATAGTTTCAAGAAGGTTTTTTTTTAATGGAATAGAAGGGCAAGGAGCAAGCGTATCATCTGATTGTAAGTATTAACGCCGCCGATGAACATCCAGAACATCAGCGGGATCATAAGAACATAGCCGGTCTTTTAAAAAGGTGGTTGCTTATTCATTAAAGATTTGAAAATCATATCGATTTGAAATTTGTTACCGAAATGGATTTGTTCAAATAAGTTTATTTAGATATTAATTAAACTTTATTCAAACCTTATACCTTTGTTTCTAAAACTCAAATTTAATTGACGACCTTGGTGACTTATCTTCGCCGTAGACAGCGCGTAAAACCTCCTTAAAGTTTCTCGACGGGTAAACACAAACATTATTATATAAGAAAATTATTAGACAACTAATTTACTTAACAAACAACTACGTAGGTACATTATAATAAAATCCAAAGACTGAAAGTCGTTAAACCCTAGCATCAACTACGCAACGAAATAATTGAAGTTTTCTCAACACATTGAGAACGTTCTTCTAGACTTGAGACTTAGAGATATTGTCGTTCCAGAGGGAATTCTCAAGAAATACGCCGTTCTCTTATAAGTAATGGCAGTAAGTAATAATGAAAACTTTTCCGGACTTGAAAATAAATAGAATGGACTTGTAAGAGTTTGAAGCATTTTTAATTGAAGTACACACTTATTACATAGCACAAATGAAAACTATTATGTTATTTCTATTCCAGGTAAAAACTGAGAGTATTTTAAAATAGAAATCTTCATTGGCCATTAGTACCAAATTGATCTCACTCAACTCAAAAGATTAATCAAATGTAGTCCGTAACACAAAGATGATAAAGTATTTTTTAACGTTTACAAATCCAAATACGCATAAAGTCCAGAGCCAAAATAATGTATTTCGTACAAAGATTCCCACATAATGCATTTGGTATAATCAAATCGGGTTTCTTTTACACTGACCCAGTAATATTTTCCACAAGAAATATCTCATAAAGGCTAGTATTCTGAATAAAAAAGGAATAGCAAATTCTTCCAGCCAGTCGCCAACTGAATTGTTTTGCCTCGCAAGCCAGCAATGTGATAAGGCTAATTTATACAAAGACATTCGCTCATAAATTGTAACCAACACCTTCAGTTGGCAATGCTATTATTTAGCCAAAAGGCGATCTGGAGTACCTGATTGTTTTAAAACCTTGCCATGAATTCAATTCGGTTTGTTTTTTTATGGCATAGGTTGCCAAGGGGCAACCACTCGTAATGTTTGAACGGACTTCGTCAAAATTATTAGTCATGTGCGATTTTACAGGTTTCCTATCTGCGAACGCACTTCATTTAAAGTACTGTAGGAGGGAAATGCTTCAGCACGAATATGTCGGCTCGACCGGAGTGATACCACGGCCTCACAGAAAAGCGGCATGAAACAACCACAACGTTGTGTTTCGCCGTGTGAATGAGGTCACCTCCCCCAATCCCTAAATCTCCAAATTCTTAAAAGCAACGCACTCGTAACTGCTCCGTTGCGAGTGTCTATGGGCGGCGCTGATTGCTTGGCACTAGGTAATCCATATGCTCGTTTGCCGTTACGATTACCCATTACGAAAGAATATATACATATATATAACCGTGGGGGCTCAGACAGTTTCAAAACCATCGCAAAAAAAATACCCGCAGGTGTAAGCACAGAAGAAAAAAAAGGGCCTTGTCAAATAGCGGTTGCACAAAACGTCCAGTTCCCGTTGGTAATTTGTAGGATTGTAAACTATTTATTCAGAATTTTATTTTTTCATCATTTACAACGTTCCACATCAGATATTTAACAGCAAAAAGTACGGATTTTAATATAATATAGATAAGAAATATTATAAAAACACGTCACATTTTCTTATACAAAAGTAAATTACAAAAACTACCGCCTTAAAGCTAGCTTAGTGTTCACACGTTCAACTTTAGTAAAAAATAAAATTAAAAATGTCTGACCTTCTTACGTTGTTCGCTTTTTGTATCAAAAAAGAACTTTTAGAAATTAAAAACTTGAATGCTTTACAACTTTTATAAACGTGGCTGGAATATACAATATTGTTATTAAGAAACCTTTGTGCATTATAACACTGATGTTTTACATAGTTTATGTATAAAATATATGTATGTGTGTAAAACCAACGCTCTGCAATGTAGCAAAATGCTTTCAAATTTAATTTTGTCTAAACAAAATAATTTAAATATAACTACAACATACTTAAAATAAGTGTTTATTTAGAAATTATAAAATGTTCTGAAATTAAAAAAAATACTTATGAAATAAAATTGTATTTTAAAAATAAGGAAGTAAAAATGAATCTTGTTAGTCCATGTATCAAAATATTAATAAATCTAATTATGACAACGTCAATTTTCTTTGTAACGTGCCAGTAACTTGCCAAACATAATGGCATGCCAAATACTTTAC